ACGCACACACAAATACACCACGCACACACAAATACACCACGCACACACAAATACACCACGCACACACAAATACACCACGCACACACGAATACACCACGCACACACAGATACACCACGCACACACAAATACACCACGCACACACAAATACACCACGCACACACAAATACACCACGCACACACAAATACACCACGCACACATGAATACACCACGCACACATGAATACACCACGCACACATGAATACACCACGCACACATGAATACACCACGCACATACTCTTTGGTTCTATTGGGTAAAGTCACGTAGGTGAAAATAACCACGCACACACAAATACACCACGCACACATGAATACACCACGCACACATACATACACCACGCACACATAAATACACCACGCACACATAAATACACCACGCACACATGCATACACAAACACAAGTCCCAATTCTTCCACGTGCATACGTACGTACACACACACCAAAGACCTCCCAGGTAGCCTACGCACGTTGCAGGGGCAAGTGCTGTTAGCGAGCACCACCTATGAAGGCCGGAACGGCACACGACGGGGTGGGTGGCCAGCACCACGCCCGGCCGCCTTTGTCTCCCCCAGTGGCGATGTTTGCACACCGCATCGGCTTTCTTAGGTGCTCGCGAACAACACTTGCCCCAACAGTCCGTTAAGGCTATACGGGGGATCTCTGTTCGTGTGTTCGTGTGTTTGCGAGCACCTATTGGGCTTTTTTCAAGGGCCGCTACTGCGCACGTAGTTGAGGCGGTGTGGTCGTGGAGCTGTGGGGCGAGATGTTAACTCCCTCGCCTGGTACACAGGAGGTCGTGGGTTCTACCCCGACCCTGACGCCTGCTGCTGCTGTATATTTGGAGGTTGCGTGTATCTCTCTCTCATCATCATCACGGTGGCTAAGAGATGTTAACTACCTCGCCTGGTATACAGGAGGTCGTGGGTTCTACCCCGACCCTGACGCCTGCTGCTGCTGTATATTTGGAGTCAGCGTCTCTCTCTCTCTCTCATCATCATCACGGTGGCTAGGAGATGTTAACTCCCTCGCCTGGTGTACAGGAGGTCGTGGGTTCTACCCCGACCCTGACGCCTGCTGCTGCTGTATATTTGGAGTTTGCGTGTATCTCTCTCTCATCATCATCACGGTGGCTAGGAGATGTTAACTCCCTCGCCTGGTATACAGGAGGTCGTGGGTTCGATCCCGACCCTGACGCCTGCTGCTGCTGTATATTTGGAGTTTGCGTGTCTCTCTCTCATCATCATCACGGTGGCTAGGAGACGTTAACTCCCTCGCCTGGTATACAGGAGGTCGTGGGTTCTACTCCGACCCTGACGCCTGCTGCTGCTGTATATTTGGAGTGTGCGTGTGTCTCTCTCTCTCTCTCTCATCATCATCACGGTGGCTAGGAGATGTTAACTACCTCGCCTGGTACACAGGAGGTCGTGGGTTCGATCCAGACCCTGACGCCTGCTGCTGTATATTTGCAGTCTGCGTGTCTCTCTCTCTCTCTCCCCGTGGTCGCGTGGATTTTCCTCCGGGTTCCTCCGGTTTTTCGCCCCTCTACATTTGGAATCGACATCACGCGTTTAGAGTCTTTGGCTGCTTATCAATTTCCACACGATGACGATGACAAGCCCACGTCGTTGAGCTATAAGTTGCGATGGCCAGTGTCGCTTCTGACAAAAGAGCTACGCCGCTCGGTGGGTCTCACCTGGTGAAATACAAGGTTTCGTTTAGTTTACTGGTTATTCAGTTCGTGTGTCTGTATAGACTGCGTAATTGGGAACCATCACACGCACACAGGGGAGAGGAGGAATGCGTGGATCAGAGAGCACGCGCAGGTAAGGCCCACTGAGCCACGTGGCTTTTATTTTTCAGAAGCCACGGCGACTTATCGCTCAACCAAGTGGGCTTATCATCGTCACGTAGACATTTATTGTACCCAAATACTCTGAACGCGTGGGTTCTCGATGCGGGAAGTGGGGAAAAAACCCGGGGGACCCGGAGAACAATCCACGCGACCACGGGGTGAGAGGGAGAGGCACACCGCAAACTCCAAATATACAGCATCAATCTCGATTCGAAGCTTTCGTCACTGCAGGAATCCCTACTCTTTGATTCTTTGGGTAAAGTCATCACGTGGGTAGAAAAATAAAATAAAATAAATAATATACCACGACAGTTCCACTGCTGGATTATTTTTTTTTCCGCCCGAGGACGACCGCTGTGTTGCGATCGAAACGTCGTGATATTTATATTTTTTTAATTTCATTTTATTTTTCTACCTACGTGACTTTACCTAAAAAACCAAAGACTGTACAGCAGCAGGCGTCAGGGTCAGAGTCGAACCCACGACCTCCTGCATACCAGGCGAGGTAGTTAACATCTCCTCGCCACCGTGGTTTGAAGGGGGTGAGTTTCGGTTGTAGGTCCACGCCTAGAAGAGGTGACAGACGGTGGTCAAGGAGAGTTACGGAGCGGCAGCCGAAAGGGATGATGGAATCTCAGCGAAGGTGACGTCCACCGATGGTGGAGGTGGTGGAGATGGAAGAGGAGGAGGAGGTGGAGATGGAAGAGGTGGAGATGGAAGAGGAGTAGGAGGTGGAGATGAAGGAGGTGGAGATGGAAGAGGAGGAGGTGGAGATGGATGAGGTGGAGGAGGTGGAGATGGGGGAGGTGGAGATGGAGGAGGTGGAGGAGGTGGAGGAGGTGGAGGAGGTGGAGGAAGTGGAGTAGGTGGAGATGGAGGAGATGGAGGAGGAGGAGGAGGAGGTGGAGATGGAGGAGGTGGAGGAAGTGGAGGAGGAGGTGGAGATGGAGGAGGTGGAGGAGGAGGTGGAGATGGAGGAGGTGGAGGAGGAGGAGGTGGAGATGGAGGAGGTGGAGGAGGTGGAGGAGGTGGAGATGGAGGAGGTGGAGGAGGTGGAGGAGGAGGAGATGGAGGAGGTGGAGGAGGTGGAGGAAGTGGAGTAGGTAGTGGAGATGGAGGAGGTGGAGGAGGTGGAGATGGAGGAGGAGGAGTAGGAGCTGGAGGTGGAGGAGGTGGAGGAGGAGGATCGTAGAGGATCGTCAGAGTTTGAAGACGGCCGATCGGGAATGAGGAAATGGAGGGCCCTCATCCAGCAGTGGATTGAACCTGGCCAATGACGAAGACACGGGATACGCATGTTATCTATTCCAATTATCATACAATGACAATATGCATTATGTTCTTAGAATAAGCGATCGTGTTGTTACGTGCGTTGGGGGTCTCAAGGCTAACGCGTGGATTTGTTTTTACGACTTGTGGTCGTGTACACGTTTCGTTCATATCGACACAATTGGCAGCAGTTTGCTGCAAAGACAAAGAACCCCCGTGCGTGTAGCCTTCGACGGATCCGTCGGGGGGGGGGGGGGGGGGCAAGTGCTCTTCGCGAGCAGCACCTGTGAAGGCCGGCACGGCGCACTAAGGTTGCTGGGGTGGCCAGCAACCACGCCCGGCCGAGGCCCCTTGGTCTCGCCGACGCGTCGACACACCACATCGACAACCGGGTAAACTCATTCGAGTTTGTGGTGACGACACTGTAGCCTCGCGAGCGCTAATCCACCGCCGTCCGTGCACAGGCATATACTTACTCCTGGCGAGAGCGCCGCTTGTCTCGAGGCCAGAACGGCCGCAATCGCTCCCAAATACGACGATGATCATATTCTTAGCTCTTTCGGTAAAGTCACGTTGAAGGGAAACAATAAAATAATAACATATTTAAATGTTTCTTGCCGTTGGTTTTTCACACCTGATGATGACCGCTTGTGTTATGGTCGAAACGTCGTGAGAATTTTTTTAAAAATTGTTTTATATATATTTTATTATTTTGTTGTTTCCCTTCAACGCGACTTTACCGAAAGAGCTAAGAATATGAATTACTGCAGTCACGAAAGCTTTAAATCACGACGATGATCGTTGGGCAAGTTCTGTGTCGCGAACCCGGCCGCCTTTGACTCTCTCCCCGATGCCGATTGCTTCGCAGGCACCGCGCCAGGCAGGACACCCGCGTAAGGCCGAAGCGACACAACGGAGTGGAGGATCTGTGGCCGGTTGCGTTATCGCTCGTCCCACTAGGTGTTAAGTTTTCGGAATCGTCCGGGAATTGAACTCGGGTGTGCTGACCACGCATTATATAACGCCCAGATAAGCACGCGCAACGAGGGTGTGACGCCGTCTTTTTTTTACACACACAAACACACGAGTATTAATATAAACATATATGTATACGCTGCGCGCACAAATATACACGTACGTACAGAAAACCCCTAGATATATACAAAGACCCCCCCCCCCCCGTGTAGCCAGATCTTCTGTCGGGGCAAGTGCTCTTAGCGAGTAGCAGCTATGAAGGCTGGCACGGCACGCGAGGGGGTGGATGGTTGCCATCACCACGCCCGGCCGCCTTTGTCTCCCCAGAGATAGCGATGTTTACACATCGCACCGAGGCTGATTCGACCTTGGGGGAAAGCCCAGGACCGGCTCAGAGCATCTGCGCTGGTGGTTACCGTGAGCGGGGAATCGAATTCTGGTCGCTGGGTTCGTAGCGCAGCGCGCTAACCGCTACGCTACCGCTCCACACACACACACACGCGCGCGCACGCACACACACAGACACGCATCAGTACACTTACGCGCATACACGTGTGCACATTAACGCAAAAGTCCGAGCACATTCATTCCGGTGAGATGAATATGAAGATCCGGCCACAAGTGATAGCTCAACGCAGTGGCTCATCGACACGTGGGAATTGTATAGCAGCCAAATACTCTAAACGCGTGATGTCGAGTCTAAATGTGTAGGTAGCAATCCGGAGGACCCTGAGAGAAATCAACGCGACCACGAGGTGAGAGAGAGACATACACGCAAACTCCAAATATGCAGCAGGCACCGTCAGGGTCGTGTCGAACCCACGCACTCCTTGCATAGCAGGCGAGGGAGTTGACATCTCCTAGCCACCGCGGCGAGATGTTAACGCCGAAGAGGCCTGTCTTGGCCTACTCTTCCACCCTGGCCCAGGCGTCTTTGTAAGCCGTGGGAGTGCCCCACACTTTACACCACCACCACGACCACCACCACCACCACCCCACGCGACCTGCCCGATCAGATCATAGACCTCGCTGTAGGTGGATTCAGTTTTGTGTTTGTTTACACCTCTGCTGGATGGACAGACGCGAAGGTCGGAGGGAGGAGGAGTGATTCGAGAAACGTGCAGCGTTGTCCCAAGTGCCGTGACGGGAGTTCGGTCCGAGGATTCGAGCCGGCGGCCTCTGCGGACCCCGGTGTGAGTACAGACCCTGGCTCGCACTCCACGTGCGGCAACGCCTGGAACTAGCGGGCTGGGACGCACAAGGGAAGATAATTTAGACGTTCCGGACGGTAGTCCTAATGCATGAGACATCTGCAAACAAGCAGCCGTGCAGACTTAACATTTTAATCGTTTTTTTTTCCTAATCAATTATGTTAAAAACAATCATTTAAATTGAGATTACAACCATAATTTATTTGTTTAACGGCGTGACAGCGGGATATGTATATTGGTAAGACGTTGAGCAAAGGAAGATTGTGTCTAGATTTTACTTAAGCAATTTCTTGCTCAAGACATTGCTGGCGGGTAGGGCCTCCTCTCGAGAGGGTGCTTGGCCTGCTCTTCCTCAATGCCCAGACAGACGTCTTGGAAGGAGTTTTCTGATTTAAAAACATAGTTTATTTTAATTAATGTGCATTAAAACAAACGTGTGTAATGTATGTCTGCATTAACATTGCAATGTGTTTAGCCTACGCACGCTCCGCCGATGAGAACCTCGTAGGTCAAAGCCAGTCTGGAGTTTTGGTTATTTAAATAAATCCCGCTGATATAAATGTTGCTATGAGAATCCAATTTGACTGATGAATAAATAATGATATGTATTTATTTTTTAATTAAGTGGAAATACAGACTGCAACGCTGTGTGCATTTGATTTCATATGACACGTGTGCGTGCAAATCCACACGCATGTATATACTGCACATATACTAATATACATGCATACGTACGTTGCATACAAAAGACGAAGATTCCCCCCCGGGTAGCCTTGGACAGGCTTGTTGGGGGGAAGGTGCTGTCAGCGAGCACCTATTAAGGCGGCCACGGCGCACCTATGAGTGGGGCCATTGTGGTCATCACCACGCCCCGGCCGCCTTTGTCTCCCCATGGTGATGATGTTAATAGCTGACACCGCACCAAATCTACAATCGTTAGGCAAAGTCGATTTAAAAAAAAAAACCCACACACACACATACATACACACATACACACATCCTGAGAACAACTCGCCACTCACGTGAAGCCGTGGCCCCGGGGAATGGGGACCTCGGCGGGCGTCCGCCGGGGGTGGTTCACGGCGCTCACCGCAGCGCCACCGCTCCCCGCGTTGCAGGTCGGAGAGCGGCTCGGGGGCCCGTGCATCGCGCCGCTGTAAATTCCGTTACCGCGAAAAGCGAAAAATTCCCGGCACTCTCCCGAGGTGTCCTCCCGCCGGCGCTGATGATGCCCAAGCGCTGCACCAGGGTACTCGTTTAAAGTCGAGGCAACCTGGGGGGGGGGGTGGGGAGTGGGGGGTGGGGTGGGAGTGGAATCTGGGACTAGGTCGACTCAGCCTCAAATGAGACTCGGGGCCACCGGACATTCAATGTTGGCACGATGGTTCACCGTTGTTGCGCACGTGCCTAAGAAAGTGCTCGTCCGAGTCCCTTGATCTTATTTGAGTCGCTATAGCGCACCGAAATAACGAGAAGAGCCGGATCCTTGTTTTATGTTGTTGTTGTTGTTGTTCTCGAATTCCATCAAAATATCTGTCGATGTTTCAGGAATCGCGACGCACTGCGATGGTGGTCCCTGAATAGACACCGGCCACGCAGAGGGTCACCTCGAGAGCCGCGTGCGTGCGGACTCAGCAGCCGCAGGGGGTGCCGGCCCCGGGCATAGCCCCTTGACCAAGGCGCTGAAGTAATGAATGAGCTGCTTAGTATACAGCAGACGCGTGATGATGATGATGATATGTTGATGGGAGTACGTGATGAGTTATGATGATGATGGGAGTACGTGCTGAGTTATGATGATGATAGTATGTGTTGATTTATGATGATGATAGTACGTGTTGAGTTATGATGAAGATGATGATAGTATGTGTTGAGTTATGATGATGATGATGATAGTACGTGTTGAGTTATGATGAAGATGATGATAGTACGTGTTGAGTTATGATGATGATGATGATGATAGTACGTGTTGAGTTATGATGATGATAGTACGTGTTGAGTTATGATGAAGATGATGATAGTACGTGTTGAGTTATGATGATGATGATGATAGTACGTGTTGAGTTATGATGATGATAGTACGTGTTGAGTTATGATGAAGATGATGATAGTACGTGTTGAGTTATGATGATAGTACGTGTTGAGTTATGATGTTGATGATGATAGTACGTGTTGATTTATGATGATGATGATGATAGTACGTGTTGAGTTATGATGATGATAGTACGTGTTGAGTTATGATGATGATGATAGTACGTGTTGAGTTATGATGAAGATGATGATAGTACGTGTTGAGTTATGATGATGATGATAGTACGTGTTGAGTTATGATGATGATGATGATGATAGTACGTGTTGAGTTATGATGAAGATGATGATAGTACGTGTTGAGTTATGATGATGATGGAAGCACGTGTTGAGTTATGATGATGGGAGTACGTGATGAGTGATGATAATGATGGGGGTACGTGGTGAGTGATGATGATGATGTTAATGGGAGTACGTGATAAATGATGATGATGGAAGTACGTGATGAGTTATGATGATGATTGGAGTACGTGATGAGTGATGATGATCAGGAGGATGGAAGTACGTGATGAGTAATGATGATGATGATGATGCGTGAACTCAATAACGACGAAAGTGACAATGCGAGTCTCGAGGCAAGTTTACGGGAGGAGTCCTGCCATGTGATGATTGGCACATTCACACTCTTGAGTGAATGCTTTTACACGCGCGTGTCTGTGTGTGCGTGTCTGTGTGTGTGTGAATACCCGGTGCGGTGCGTAGTAAACATCGCCACGAAGGAGACAAAGGCGGTCGGGGCGTGGTGCTGGCCACCCACCCCCTCGTGTGCCGTTCCGGCCATCATAGGTGCTGCTCGCTAACAGCACTTGCCCCAACAGTCTGTTAACGGCTACACGGGGGATCTTTGTCTTTTTGTATAAGTGTGCGTGTACATATATACATATCGTATGCACATATCGAATGTGTATACGAGATCTATACAGCACTGACACAAACATTCATACACACGCAAAAAAAAGACAAAGATCTCCCGTGTGGTCTCTCATAGACTGTTGGGTCAAGTGCTCATCGCGAGGACCTATCATAGACGGTGCGTGTGTCTTTTGATTTAAAGCTTTCGTGACTGCAGGGATTCATATTCTTGGTTCTTTCGGTAAAGTTACGTAGAAGGGAAACAATAAAATAATAAATATATATATAAAACAATAAAATTTGCACGACGTTTCGACTGCAACACAAGCAATCATCATCAGATGTACTTTTCACTGCAACACAAGCAAACATCATCAGGTGTGAAAACCACACCTGATGATGATTGCTTGTGTTGCAGTCGAAACGGCGTTGAGAATTTTATTGTTTTATATTTTTATTATTTTATTATTTTATTGTTTCTCTTCTACGTGGTGACTTTACCGAAAGAACCAAGAATATGGTGCTGGGGTCATTGCCGACACAACGCCCGGCCGTCTTTATCTCCCCAAATGCTGACATTTAAAAACAAAAAAACCGCGTTAGGTACTCATTTAAGGCCGAGTCCACCTTGGGGAGGTCCCGGACCGGTTCAGATAATCACCGCTGGTGTTGGTGGCCGTGAACGGGAATCGAACTCGTAGCGAAAAGGGGCGCTAACCACTGCGCCCACCGCTCCCCGCACACAAAGATCCCCCGTGTAGCCTTAACAGACTGTTGGGGCAAGTGCTGTTAGCGAGCACCTGTGAAGGCCGGAACGGTGCACTAGGGGGTGGGTGGCCAGCACCACGCCCCGACTGCCTTCGTCTCCCCGATGGCGATGTTTACTACGCACCGCACCAGGTACTCATTTGAGGCTGAGTGGACCTAGGGGAGGCGCAGGACCGGTTCAAATAATCGTCACCGGTGTTGGCCGTGAGCGGGAATCGAACCCGGGTCGCCGGGTTCTTAGCGCAGCGTAGCGCTGACCGCTGCACCACCGCTCCCCGCACACGCACACACGCACTTGCTCAAATAAACATATATCCAGTAAATAACACAACGATGAAAACAAATCCCCCGTGTAGCCTTGGCGGCGCACGTGACCGGCTCGCCGCCTTTGTATCTCCAGCGCTGACCTTTTTCGCTCAGCACCCCAGGTACTCGTTTCAGGCTGAGTCGACCCCAGCGTAGAGCCCAGGCGGGACAAGCGATGACTCCTGACAATCGATGTTGGCCGTGGGCCGTCAAACAATATTCACGGCGCGCTGTGGCTTCGGTAAGCGATGCCAACCACTGCCACACCGCCCCACCAACGTAAACAAACATAAGACAAAGATCTCCCGTATAGCCTTAACAGACTGTTGGGGCAAGTGCTGCTAGCGAGTAGCAGCAGCGCCTACGAAGGCCGGCGCGGCACGCGAGGGGAGTGGGTGGCCGGCATCTCGCCCGGCCGCCTTTGTCTCCCCCAGTGGCGATGTTTACTACGCACCGCACACCAGGTACTCACTTGAGGCTGAGTCGACCTAGGGGGAGGCCCAGTAGCGGTTCAAGACAATCGTCACCGCCGGTGTTGGTGGCCGTGAGCGGGAATCGAACTCGGGTCGACGGGTTCGGAGCGCGGTGGCGCTAACCACTGCGCCACCGCTCCCCCGAACTTAAGCGTACGCACGCACACACTACAGGCGGACGATCCCTGCCCGTCCTGGATGCGAATAATTAATCGCGTTAGCGGCTAAAGGTAAACAAAAACATATAACGACGATGTTATTCGTGAGATAGTCTCAACGATTATCTGCCTTAAATGAGCTTCGACGCAATGAGTGGTTGAGCATTCTCCCGTGAACAGCCCTGCCGAGCTTGTGGTGGAAATTCCACATTCCTATGGCTGGGAGGGGGTGTCGGGAGGTATCTCCATAGTACAGTCACTGTTGACTTACACACAATTTAGATACTCACTTTATCGACCCCACAGTAATGATGATGATGGGCCGAGTCAAATACACTCCCTCAACCACCACCAAAAACAAAGCAAAAGTACGGATGATGAGTATTTTATCGACCCCGGAGGGATGATGATGATGATGGGCCGAGTCAAACCCCATGCACCCCAAACAGGATTTGACTTCACAACTTTCACTTTCAAAGTCACTCGCTCGACAGCTGAGCCACTCGGCCGGGCCAGGTCAGAAGTTGCCGTTCAGTATTTTAGTTGTTGTTGTTATGATTGTCCGCTTGTGACTATAGTCTGACAAAGTGCGTGGTGTGATAGCAAATACAAAAAAAATCTCACGAGTCGACCCGAGGTGGATCACGGTCGGTCGCGGTATTGTCCCCCTCCCCCGCCCGAGTTGATGGTTGATGTCACGCGAGGTCAAATCGCTAGTGGAGGCGACTCGAGTCACTCAACCGCTCACCCACCCAGATCCCTACCCACCTATCCACTCAACCACGCGATCGGCTATCTATCCACTCTCCCACCCAGCAAGCTATCCACCCGACCGTCAACCCACGCACCCCACCACCCAACTACCCATCCACCCAACCGACCACTCGTTCACCTATCCACTCAAACAACCGACCAGCTACCCACCCAGCCAGCCATCCACCCGACCGTCAACCCACGCACCCAACTACCCATCCACCAAAAACAAATCCGCTTCGACCAACAATCCCCCCGTCCACCAACCCCCGCCGCCACCCAACTCTACCTCTTTCACCTCTCCAGCGCACCCACCCAGCCACCCATCATCCATTTAGCGCGCCGTCACCGCCACCCATCTCAACCCCGTGACCACCCATGATCTCTCTCCACACTCCTAACCCCTCCTCTCCTCCTCCCCACGTCTCCCTCCCCTCCCCTCCGCCGCTCACATCCTCTCCCCCCTGCCCCCTGTTCGCGCACAGGCGTCGCGGGGATCAGCCACGGAGGGAGCTGCAGCGGCGAACGCGCGACTGAAGCAGTCGCGTCGGGGTTGTCGAGGTGCTCGAGTTCGACTCCAATTCCTATCTCTCCCTCTCTGCCTCTCTCTCTCTCTCTTTCTCTCTCCCTCTCTGTCTCTCTCCCTCTCCCGCGCTCGCTCTTCTCCAGATCCTCCCTCCCTCTCTCCCTTCTCCCGGGGAGAGGAGGTTGACTGGACACGAGGAGGAGGCTGAAGAGGAGGAGTGGGAGGAAGGGACATGGGTAGACGTGCGGTGGAAAGTTAAGGAGGAGTTATAACGGCTGTCGTCATCAACAACATCAACAACAGCAACATCGACAAGAACGTCATCATCAACAACATCAACAACATCAACAACATCATCATCGTCGTCTACGGGCTCTGAAGCACAACCCGCAAGTCGCCTGCCTCGGGTGAGTCCGCGCCTGCGCTGGTTGACGTCTCGGGTCCGGATGTAATGCGTGACGGTGGCGCTGCATTACTACGTAATACAGACGCACACACGCAACACACACATAACACACACCACACACACACATAACACACAACACACACACCACACACACACACAACCCACATAACACAGACACACACACAACAGGCACAAACAACACGCACACTCACACCAGACACACACACAACACATATAACACAGACACACACACACCACACAGACACATACCACACACAACACGCACACACAACACGCAGACACAACACACACACAACACACACGAAACACACACACACCACACACAACACACACACACAACACACACGAAACACACACACACCACACACAACACACACAACACGCACACACAACACACACAACACAGACACACACACACCACACACACAACACAACACAGACACACAACACGCACACATATCACGTACACACCACACACACAACACACCAGACACACACACAACACAGACACACACCACACCATACAACACAGACACACCACCACCACACACACACCACAGACACACACATCACACACACAACACAGACACACACCGCACACACACAACACAGACACACACCTCACACAACACAGACACATACCACACACACACTACACAACAGACACACACCACACACAAGACAGACACACCACACACAACATACACATACCACACACACTACACAACAGACACACACCACAAACAAGACAGACACAGAACACACGCACATCACACACAGACAAACACCACACACCACACACAGACAAACACCACACCACACACACACCACACACAGACAAACACCACACACAACACACACACACACACCATAGACAACACACGCACATCACACATACCACACACAGACAAACACCACACCACACACAAACACCACACCACACACACACCACACACAGACAAACACCACACACACCATAGACAACAGACGCACATCACACACACCACACACAGACAAACACCACACACACACCATAAACAACACACGCACATCACACACACCGCACAGACAAACACCACACACAACACACACCACACACAGACAAACACCACACACAGACAAACACCACACCACACACACACCACACACAGACAAACACCACACCACACACACACCACACACAGACAAACACCACACCACACACAAACACCACACACACACTACACACAGACAAACACCACACCACACACAAACACCACACCACACACACACCACACACAGACAAACACCACACCACACACAAACACCACACACAACACACACCACACACAGACAAACACCACACCACACACAGACAAACACCACACCACACACAAACACCACACCACACACACACCACACACAGACAAACACCACACACACCATAGACAACAGACGCACATCACACACACCACACACAGACAAACACCACACCACACACAGACAAACACCACACCACACACACACCACACACAGACAAACGAGCCGCTGTCGGTCACGGGGATGTGGATTTTCGGGGGGGGGGCGGGCGGTTTGACCATACTTCACCACGATGGTTGAGTCCAGCTCGTACGGGCTCGGATGGTTGCTTGGTGTATAGCGGAGACGAGAGCACGTCGGAGGCAGGAGGGGGTTCGATAACTTCGGATCGATATCGCCACCGTCGCCGATATTAGCCCGCAACCGGGGGGGAGATTCGAGTTCGTGGTGGCGGTGCGCTAACCACTGCGCCACCGCTCTTACCACCCACACCCCGACAATTAACACACACACACATTACATATTACAGACAGACACGCACTATAAACACGTTGACACGTGTTGCTTACAACAAAGGCCATCCCTGCTCGCCTGCAGAGGCTGTTGGGGGCAAGTGCTGTCAGGTCAACGAGCACCTCCGATTAGCACGGTTGCTTGCGTACGGTGCGAAAGAAGTTCAAGATGCGTACATGTAGCAAAGACCCAGACACCCCCCCCCCCCCCCACGTATAGCCTAGAGCAGTTTGTAATGCAATTGCTGTTAGCGAGCACCTATGAATTATTTAAGCGTACACACACACGCGCGCCTGTACATATACGCAATATACAAAGACACACAAAGACTGTGTAGACTTTTGGGGCAAGTGCTGTTTGCGAGTAGCACCTACGAAGGCCGGCACGGCACACGATGGAGTCGGTGGTCCAGCACCACGCCCGGCCGCCTTTGTCTCCCCCAGTGGCGATGTTTTACTATACACCGCACCCAGGTACTCATTTGAGGCTTTGGGAAGGTCCAGGACCGGCCCACATACGTTCAATTGCGAACACGCGCGCACGGTACAATGTAATTCCAAGTGTATTATTCTACATATATATACATCCGCTTACTTCATATACCTGTCGCACAAAAGGGGCCGGGATTCAGAGCACGTTTTGGACGAAAACGTTTCGGACAACGGCCCTTATTCACGAACTACGAAGAAGGACCTTCTTCGCCTGTTGCACATTCGACCGTGTGCGCAATGTTGCGCGTTGCTGCAAAAACACCGCGTGGCGCGATCCCCTGCTTATAATCATCAATGTCGCTCGGCACAGTCGCGATCTTTCGAATGGCTTTAGCGTCTCACTCCGTGCCCCCCCCCCTCTCCGTGAATGGGGTTTGGGGGGGCAATTACTCGGTTCACTACTCGGTTCACTACTCGGTTCGCTAATTAAGACGGGGGGGTCTCGTGTTGAACGCCATTCAGAACTCGCGACCGACTCACCGACTCTGAACACGCGAGCGTGGAACCAATGATGCATCGGGTACATTTTTTTTAAACTTAAATTTGGGAATCATTTTCCCCCCCTCCTCACCCTCGCCCCCCCGATTTACCGACGCGTCCAATAGTGTGGCAGGGCACAGGCTCGGCCACGTTCGTGCGAAATCTTCAACTCGCCAAGCGCCCCCGTCTAGAACGGCATTTGAGAGTCTTGCGGCGAGAGTCAAAAGCCTTCGACCGTGACCCGTCCGTCCGTCTGTCCCCCCGCGCATCAGGAGCGGTGTTTGCGCAGCTGTTGGCGCACTGCGCGTTACGACGTCAACACTGGGGAGACAAAGGCGGCCGGGCGGGCGGTTCTGGGCAAACCACGCGTGCCGCGTCGGACTTCGTAGGTGCTCGCTGACGGCACTTGCCCCAATAGTCTGTCGCAGGCTACACGGGGGAGCTTTGTCTTGGGTTAGTACTGTGCAATCCGTGTTGAGGCACCTATAGTCAATGCAGTGTGAATTTGTGTATGATCAGTTACGCGTTAATATCGTGGCAATTGACTACAACTGTATAGTTTTTAATTCTATATTTTTTTACGTGAAACATACACATGCGTACATAATGTGAAACTGGGTTTTGTTTTATATATATACTGATGCAGTGGTGCACAAAGCACAATTAGCGCGACATTAAACGTCCCTCAGTTCACAGTGCCCCCAATTAAATGTTAACACTATACATCTGTATGTTTAATTAAACGACGTTTCAGCCAATGGCCCTTTCATAGATCTACGTGCTAAGAAGAAGGGACATTTTTGCCGGAAACGTCACCTATCTTTAATATTGATATAAAAATGCAGATAAATGCTATTCGGCCGCGATGTCACATTCCTAGTTTCGGATCACTGTTGTTAAAACAAACACATTTTAACGAACTAATTTCCGTGACAATAAAATATACTTTAATTAAATCGCACGCCAATTAAGGCACGCGTCAAATGTCGGTGCCACGAATAGACAAATATTAATACGCTAAGAAGGAATTAATTACAGTATATATACACACACATATATTTACATGGAATTGTGCAGATGCAAGCGGACCGTTTCGCAAGCACCAAATCCGGCCCATCGCCGGCGTTCGTAGCGACGGCGCGCTAACCGCTGCGCCACCGCTCCGCGCCGACAGCTCACGGCTCGCGACGCGGAGACCAGACGGACGTGACTTGGAGTGACTTCGTGCAGATTTCAGTGATGTTCTCCAAGGGTTAGAGAGAGCTGGCAATCTGGCGTACGGAATATAGACGGGTCTAGGCTTACTCCAGAGATGTTCGAGAAAGGTTAGAGAGAGAGAGAGATGATAAGTTTCCACGAAACATAGCCGAGCCTAGGCTTATTTCAGTGATGTTCTCCAAGGGTTAAAGAGAACTGACAATCTGGCGTACGGAATATAGACGGGTCTAGGCTTACTCTAGAGATGTTCCAGAAGTGTCAGATATCTGAAGTATGGTTAACAGCCCCCACCCACACGGATAATCGACGCGGCGTGGGGCGTGAGACCGACGTTTTAGGCAATTACCTTTTTTTTGCAGATATCACAGTTTTAATTATGGAGATCATTGCTTGTCAAGGGTCAGCAGCTCTCACCAATTACACGTTTTTACAATGAAAGGCAGTGAGCTTAACTTCCAGTAAACGCGTCAATTCAAATATTAGTATTTGTTGGCGATTAGCAATGTCATGTAGACACTTGTAACGCATTAAATCAATTACCAATTCGGTCGCAATGTTTAAACAGACGCGTCGATGCTTTTAGATTTGGAGGGGCCGATGGAAGGGGTTGGTGGAGTGGTCTTGATAACAGCACACCAAAAAAACCTGCACGGCTGTGGCATCGCGAACAGACCCATTATATATACACACATACCTACATGATCATGATCATTAAAAGCATCTTCATCTAAGTCATCATCTTCATCGAAATCATCATGGTTAGTATCATCATTGTCATGAATCATATCATGAGCTCTATCATCATAAGCTGTATCAACTGTATCATCATCAGCTCTAGCTATATGATCATTAGATACGATTCATCTATATATATCATGATCTTAGTTAACATGATCAATGTAATTATTGCTATCATCATCACCTAATTTATTATCAACATCATTGTCATCTAACACTGCCATCATCTTTCGTAGTGAAC